CATTCTCACACCTAACCCTTTATGACTTCAGAGTTTAAACAGAAAACATCCACAACCTTGTCTCAATGCACTATCTAGCAATGCTCTAAAGAGGGCAGGACAACTGTGTTTAAAGGCATTGTGCAGATGGACTGTGCTTCTGGGATGGAAGGCTGGGATTATAGCCTGGTCCTGATTCTCATTCCCTTATACATCATCTCCGTTCTGCGATATCAGTCTTATCTCCCAGGTCATATAAGTAGCTTTATGTTTGATGCTTGTGACTTTACCAGTGTCTCCTTTAGTGAAGTGTGCATTAGTCCTTTGTGTTTTTCTTGTAATGGCATAATGTATTAGTGTTACCTCTATGTAAAGAAGAAAAGAAATGCCACATATCAAAGTCTGAATAAATTGAGAGCATCAAAAATTTTAGTCTATTCTTAGGTTGAGGAGAGAACTCAATAGCAGAGCACTTACCTAGCATGTGCAAAGTCCTGGGTTCATTCTTCAGCACCACAGAAAAAGAGAAACAAAAGTTGGGGTGTCCATTCTTGAAGATACATCAGGGATAATGACACATGAGAACAATGTTTGCTTGACAGTGTCTCTATATGTTTTACTTTGGATGTTTTCACTATTACAAAGGGAACTTCATCATTGGTAAGAGCCAAGCTTTGCCTGGTAATAGCACCCCAGCTGTGAGCTCCATTTGCAAGGCATTGCGGAAATGCAATTTTCAGTTACTACATGATGAGTAGCAACAATTTGGACTAGAAATGAAAGCTGACACGTGTCCTTTGTAGAAAGAAACCTGATGGTTCTTGCTTTTGGAAGTAGGAGGTCCAATATTCATACTTGCACAAGCAGTCAAAATGAAGGGGAATAAAAGGATTGAATACATCTGGGCCTTCAAGCACTACACTAGGATGACTCTGATTAGAACTTTTAAACAAATCCTGCTCATTCTAATTTATTAATAACATTTTTAAGATTATGATTTTTATCCCCACTGCAAGCTAGAAGGGTTTATCTTTATCTCTTTGGTGAAGTTGACATTTGAAATACTCAGCAACCAGCACATCAAAAGTCTTTGACACATTCAAAGTGATGCTGAGATGCGTCGCTCATGCTCTGACAAGTTTGGTGCCCCAGGTTTGCCAGGCATTAATGATTAAGTTGCTGGAGTATGGGAAGGTCTGAAGGTTCCTTGGGGAAAGAAGAAATTGATGACACATTAAGGAACCAAAGGCTGAGGTTATTTACCTCAGAGCTATGGCAACTTACATATTGCAATGGAGTTACTTCAATTTTCTTTTTCTTTTTTGGAGACAGGATCTTACTATTTATCCCAGGCTGACCTTGAACTTGTGATTTTCCTGCCTCAGCCTCCTGAGTGCTGAGATTACAGATATGAGCTACAATGCCCAGCTGTAGCTGAATATATAACAAGCATAACTGTCATACTGGTATGTGCCTACTTAATCCCAGATCTGTCCTTAGTTGAATAGGCAAAATTTTAATTGTCTCTCTGAATGGGCCTTGTAAAATCCCAAGTTTCTTTAGCTTATTGTACTGTGAAACTATATTGAAAATAGCGGGTGTGATTCATCAATAATTTTCCTTTATCATATTACATGGTCACAGTAAATGGTCACCACAGTGATCAGTAATATTTGTTCTAGGAGACATACTTATGCTTTTCCTCTGTTTTCTCTGGGGAGTAATATCTCGGCCTCAACAAATACTACATCAGTGCAGATGCTGATATTACCAGTACACCCAGGGGAGACGCTTGGATTAAATCACTAAATTACCAATATTTATTGCCTACAACTGAAAACAATGGTAACTTAGACTTTTGAGAATGCTGATTCCAAATTTTAACACTTATGATTTAACAATTGAAAAAGAAACACAGAACAGCAATAATTTCAGGAGACATTTGTATCAGAACAGGTAGACTCAGGAAATAGGTGGTACAGACTGTCCTTCCTTCTCTCTGGAAATTCACACTCCAGTGATTTGGGTAAAACATTTATAAAGGCTGACACCTTGCACATGTTAGATGGTTTGGGTGGTGTAGGTATTATTTGTGCATTGGTTTCTGGCATTTTGAGAATCTATTTTGTCTGTAGGTATTTCTTATGACTTCAAGGAAATATTTTTGCAAATTCTGATTTCCTCAGTGGCAGAGCTCCTAAGCCTGGGTGATGCTTTTATGTTAACTACAAAAAGATGACTTGTCATCAGAGGGATTCTCTTTGCTGGACCTCTCCCTCTGTACCAATAATAGGTTGTGGCCAAACTTTCCACTGGATTTCAAGATTCCATGTCTTCCCAAAGTGATTGGCCTGCTAACGTCTGTCGGAAACATGGCCAACCTAGTGTACTGGATGCCATGGTCCTGAAATATTGAGGAAGTGTATTCATCTCTGCTTGGTCCCAGAGAGACTTTTGGGCATCTAGGAATTCTAGAAAGATCATTGTCCTAGATATGTTGGATTTGTATGCCACTTGGCCGCCCATACATGTTGTGACTTAGTAAAATGTGTGTGGTTTTTATTTTTGGGAAATATTTTGCAAGTCATGAGATGCCATGATAGAAATTCTCAAAGGAACTCCTGGTGGTAGGGGAACAGGACAAATTAGTGGTCCATAGATGTGAAGATCTCCAGCTCACATCTTTTGAATGTTGTTAATGACCTGAGAACAAGCATGAAAATACCTTGAAAGGCATAGGGAAAAATGACAGAGAGGCTGAATTCAGCTATGATATATTGTAAGAACTATTGTAAATGTCACAATGTACCCCCAGTACAATAATATGATAATTAAGTATTAAAAAAAAACAAATCCCTTTTATTACTATTTGAGCTTAGACTTTTGCTATCAGCTGCTGCTATTTAAATGTTAAAGTGTGATCCAGCACTGGCAGCATCAGCATCATTTGGAAACTGGTTAGAAAGGAAAATTCTTGGACCCTATGTTGGACCTATAAAATCAGAAACTGTGGGTGGGACCCGGAAATCTGTTTTCATAAACCCTCCAGGAGATTTGGCTGCTGGCTAAAATTTGCAAGAGGAAGTTTTTAAACTTCTCAGTGTAGCTTGAAACAGTTTCTTACTTCCTTCTCCTCATTGTCCTATGAGAGTCACTTGAACAACTGCAGTTACTCCAATTTGTTACTTGGTGGACTCTCAGATAAAGCACATGACCCAGAGTCATAGTCAGTTTTAGATACTTATGATTTATCACATGAAATTTGTGTGTGTGTGTGTGTGTGTGTGTGTGTGTGTGTATGTGTGTGTGTAAGTGGGGTTTGAACTGAGCCATGCCTCCAGCCCTTTTTGCTCTAATTATTTTTCAAACAGGGTCTCACTCTTTTTGCCCAGGCCTTGATCCTCCTATTTTATACTTCAGCTGGTAGGCACCACAATACCCAGATTTTTTCCATTGAGATGGGATCTGGTGAAATTTTTGGCTGGGCTGTCCTGGAACTGCAGATCCTCCCTATCTTAGCCTCCCAAATAGCTAGGCATCTACAGATTCAACTACCAGGATCTGACTAGCTTGGTATTCTTTATGTAGCCTGCAAACACTGTGTTAGTTTCTCCTCCACTAGTTTTATGACCTAGTTTTGGAGGAAAGCCTATGGTTTTTGCAAGTCCTCTAAGACAGTTGGTAGTTTTTCATTTATTTCCTTGTTTCTTGCTACCTTGCTGAAAATGATATGAGTCTACTTGAGATATCTAACATATACATTTTTAGGAAATTTTAAAGGAGGACATAAATGGCAGAATATATCTTAGTAAAAACTTTAAAAATGAAATTTAGAAAATTAAGGAGGAAGGAAAAATTAAACTCACAATTATCTCATCCATCAACATTTAGTTTAAGGTTCATACACCAATACTTAGAATTTTTTAAATGTGGAATTGTATTATACATGCTGTTTTGTACACTTTTTTCCTTCTTTAATATATCTGTACATCTTGAACATTTTTGCATATCTGTAAATATTCTTTTGTAATCATAATAGTCAGAGTTCTACAGAGAAACAAAACCAATGCTATCATTCCCTTTTTCTCTCAGTATAGACAGATACAGCTCTGTCCGTGTCTTTTTCTATCTACATAACTCTAGCTGTCCACCAATAAATTTTTTTGAAGGAACTGTCTTACATGACAATGGAGGTTGAATGAATATGAAATCTGCAGTTACCAGCAGACAGGTTGGATGGAGACCTAGTGAAAAATTGATGTTATAGATCAAGTTCAATGGTAGTCTTTTTCACAGAATTCTCTTTTCCTCTTACTTAGTAGAGGTCAGTCTTTTTTTTTTAATAAAAGTCTTCAACTGATTAGATGCAGCCAATTACACTATGGCAAGTAATATGCTTTGCTCAAAGCCTACTAACTGAAATAGTAATCTCATTTAAAAAAGAAAAGGTATAGGAAGGGGAATGTGGTACAAAAACTGTATATGTATATATGGAAATGCAAAATTGATACCTGCTGAAACTATTCTGGGAATAGGGGGAGGGAGGGCATAAAGGAGAGCCTTGGATGGGATGAATTCAAATATGATATATTCGATACATTGTAAGAAGTTTTGTAAATGCCACAATGTACCCCCACCCAGCACAACAATAAAAACAATATTAAAAAATTTTAAAAATACCTTCACAGCAATACCCAAGTATCTGGGCTCAGTGGCCTCACCAAATTGACAGATAAAACCAACCATCACAATAATGCTATCTTTAATGGTTGTGTGCATTTCACTTTATATGTAAAGTATAATCAGTCCTGTCAGGTTGTTCTCAGTATTTCCACCCTTAGATAGAGCACATCTTTGGTTATTTCCTTGCTCTTCTTCAGGAGTAACAGACGCAGTATGTATTTTAACCGTTTGATTACACATTGTCAAATTGTCCTTTCAGAGGACCATGAACCACAACCTGAAGACTTGGGAGGAGGAGATATGCCAGGCCTTCCTTGATCACTTCCTTTCTTTCTCAGCCTGTCAGACCCTGGGAACTGGTATGATGCTGAGTTCCTGGGCCACCTCCTCAATTGAAGAAGTGGCAGAGGCTGGCCCTGAGGCACTTCGCTGGCTGCAACTGTACATCTACAAGGACCGGGAGGTCACCAAGCAGCTAGTGAAGCGAGCTGAGCACATGGGCTATAAAGCCATATTCGTGACTGCAGACACACCTTACCTGGGCAACCGCTTTGATGACGTGCGTAACAGGTTCAAGCTGCCACCACAACTCAGGTAACTGTGAGCACACAGTCCCCAAACTGGTGTGCTAATTCACTTTGCTCTTTCATGAGCCAACTTGAAAGACTTACTCTAGTTTCCAAGTAGTTATCATGAAGAATGAGATCTCTACAAAAACATTCATCTTAAAGTAGAGTTAAAAGGGATCTTGTCCAAGAATGATAGGCTCTGGGTCCTAGACATAGTGGAATTGGTAAATATTCATGTAATCTCTAGCAAATAACACCTCTTGATGGGTGTCATGTATTTAAGCCATGAAACAGAGGCAGGAATTGCTATACACTTGAAAACATCAACTACTTTTATGTATGAGAGTGTAATAGTGCTTTGAGAAGTATGAAAAATCATACAAATGGGAGATACTTAAGTTAGCCAAGGCAAAACTTTGTTATTGTGATCCTGGTACCTGATTTCTTTGTCAAAATGAAATATTCATCTTTAGATTTATTTATTTATTCATTTATGAATTTAATTTTATTCTTTTGGTTGTACTGGGTTTGAACTCAGGCTAGTTCAAACTAGTTAAGTTCTCTACTGCTTAAGCCACACCTCCAACCCTTTTAATTCTGGTTATTTTGGAAATGGGTCTCACAAACATTTTTGCATGGGCTGGCCTGGAACTATGATTCTCTTTTTTTGTTTTGTTTTTGCAGTACTGGGGTTTGAACTAAGGGCCTCCACTTTAAGCTACTCCACCAACCCTTTTTAAAAATTTTTTATTTTATTCCTGTTTTTTTTATTATTGTTGTACTGGGGGGTACCATGAGACATTTACAAAAGTTCTTAACAGTATATCATAGTTGAATTCACCCCTTCCAGCATTCTCCTTTTTCTCGTCTCTGCCCAAAGCTGAAATAGTTTCAGCAGGTCTCATTGGCATACATGTGTACATAATATTGCCCCATATTTACTCTCCTATACCCTTTCCTTTTATCCTTCTCCCTCCCACTGGTACAAAGTCCCCCACCAGGACCAGTTTTGCCTTCCTATTTTTTGTAAAAAAAAAAAAGGTTTTGTTTGTTTAAGATAGCTATATAGGGAATTTCATTGTACTATTTTCATTTCGGTATTATAACCCGAATTGGTTCATCCCCAATTTCTTCATTCTACCTTAGTTCCCTTCTTATGGTGATGTCAACAGGTTTAAAAATTCTGTATTCATTCTTGTATACACCTTCTTGACTATATTCACCTTCTTGACTTCCTTCTTTTACCCTCCCTCTCATGTGTGTGACCTCCACTTAGTGTGACTTGTTTTTCACAATATTACTGTATTTGTATTGGGTCTATATTCCACATTTGAGAGAAAACTTGTGGCCTTTCTTTACTAACTTCACTTAAGATCATATTCTCCATTTCCATCCATTTACCTGCAAATGACAAAATTTCATTCATCTTTATGGCTGAATAAAATTCCATTGTCTATAAATACCACATTTTCCTAATCCATTCATTAGTACTGGGGTAAGCTGGCTGTTTCCATAGCTTAGGTATTGTGACTAATGTAGCAACAAACATGGATGTGCAGGTGTCTTTATTATAATCTGACTTACATTCTTTGGGGGATGTCCCTAGGTGTGGTATTGCTGGATAATGTGGCAGTTCTATTTTTAGTTTTTGGAGGAGCATCCATCCTGTTTCTATAGTGGTTTTCATTCCCACCAGCAGTGTATGAAGGTTTCTTTATCCTACATTCTCACCAACATTTGTTGTTTGTGTTCTTGATGATAGCCATTCTAACAGGTGTGAGCTACCTCAAAACCTTAATGTGGTTTTGATTTGCATTTCTTTTATGGCCAGGGATGTTGAGCATTTCATGTGCAAAGAGAATAGAAACAAAAACAAAAGCCCATGCCTTGCCAAATTCATCAGAAAGCAGAAGACCTCAAATTTTCCTAAAATACAATCTATATTTTAATTATTTCTCTATTTTGACTGTCTAATTTTTAAGGACTTCTAGAATAATTAGTTTCTCACTCTCTTTGCTTCTTACAGAAACTTTCCTCATTGTTTCTTTGGCTATTTAAAAAGCAATTTGCCATTAATTTTCTGCCTCTCCTTAATACCACTGCTATGAACAATAACAATAATAAAAGATGCAGCAGGATTTGTTTTTCTTTTGTTTGTTCTTTGCAGCTTAAATACTTTTTTGCGCTGGATAACAAAATGCATTTAACAAAAGTATTGAATTAAGTAAGTAGCGTGACATAGTTGTTAATTCTGCCTGGTACCTCTTGCTCCTTTGCTGTTGGGGCCACTCAGTGAGGATAGGGAAGGGTATTTGCTCCCCACTTTTCCTTTGCTCCTAGGTTTCTGCCCAGATGACGTGAAAGACCATGAAACAAAGACCCCTTTCAGCTGTCTGTGTGCACAGGAGTGGCCATGGCTCCTAGCTTGTCACAGCTCCTGTTTGAAGATGATCAGATAATGAGTAACACATTCAGGTTAGGGGGAACATGGGAAACGCCCCACAGCGGGGTACATCCCAGCCGCAGCCTGCACTGGTGTTTTCTAATCTGAGTGGCTTCAGGTCAGCTCCTCACTGGCCCAAACTCAGCAGAGCACACTGAGGGAAGGTCAAGGCTTCTGCCTGAGGCCACATACAGCCAAAAATGCTCATTTGTTACGATCTGATAGGAAATCAGTTTCTTTCCACAGCTGACCTGACTCATAGAAGGTGAAGCCTGCTTTTCAGATGTGAGGTTTGGCAGGCAAGGAAGGCAGGAAATCCAGAGGAGAATGAGTTGGTAAAGCAGTGGCTCCCTCTTGCTACTTCCTCTGCCCGGGTGGAGGGAAAAGTTCCTACTGTTGGCATCTGGGAGCAGTGAGAGTTCAGGCATTGGGTAATCTTCGCTTGGTCTATATGCAAAACCTATGTATGGGTGTATTTTATAAATGGCACAGAGGTTCCTGAAACTGAGATGGAGTGAGGAGAATGCTCTGGAAGAGGTGAGGTCACCACAGTGATTCTTGAAGCTTTTAGGCAAGGATCTTTGCTTTGGTCACACTCCTATGGAGATGGTTCATTTACCCTGGGCTAAGATTTAGCTCTTCAGTGCAGTGCCAGGCAGTATTAAAGAGAAGAAAACTAATTTCTCGTTATTGACTAAGATCAAGTTAACCACAATTTGGAAAGCATTCTCATTGTGTGGTAGACCAAAGGTATTCACATCCTAATCCCTGGAACCTGGCACTTTCCATGGTAAAATGGACTTCACAAATAGGATTAAGTTAAGGACACTGAGATTAGGAGGTGGTCCTGTTTTACCCTAGTAGACTGAATATAATGAAAAGGGTCCTTATAAGAGAGAGACCTGAGTGTCAATATCAAAGAAAAAGATGAGATGATAGAAGCAGAGATTGGAGTGACCTGGCCAGGAAACAAGGAAAGCACATGGGTTCTAGAGTTGGAAAAAACAAGGAGATGGATCCCCTGGTACCCACAAAGTGGAAAGAAGCTGTAAGTACCCCTTGAGTTTAGTCCAGTGAAATCCCTTTTGGACTTCTGACTTCAGAATGGTAACATAATAAATTTGTATTTTAAGCCCTCAAGTTTGTGGTCATTTGTTACAGCAGCAATTAAAGTAAAACAAATGAATAACATTACTGATTTCCTTCTCAAAGTAGCTTTGCAATGAGGGCAACTCTGATTACTAAATTTAAAATTTCAACTTGAGCCTCTGCCAGCTTATGGTCCTCTTATTCTGCCCACTCTTTTCTCTATTTTGTACAATGCTTAAGTTCCAACACGCTCTGTAACTTACATATTGATTATGTTTATCTTTAGTAGAAATGTTTGAGTATCTTATTCACATAGCTACATAGATATCCTAAATAGCTAAATCATTGTCACACGAGGCGATCAATACATAATTATTAAATTAATAAATATAAATGTACTAGAACATATGAGATTTTCCCAATATAACATAATTAGGAAAAAGTTGAACAAAGATTTGAACTCAAAAGTTTATACACTTAGCCTGTCTTTTAACTGCTTGGTCACACTGAGGACAAAATTACCAGCACTATATTCTGACATAAATATTTTGCTAACTACAGAATTAGAGGTTGATGGCCCTGTAACCATCTCTCTCAGTCTCTTTCTCTGTATAATGTGTTGATATTGTGAGCTCTACTGGATTCTATTTTACTTAATTTTATTTTATTTTTTGGTTTCTCAATATTCAGATATAGCTTTATTTTTAATATCACTTCATCAATATTTATAATAATTGTATATATTAACTAATAATACTTATTATTAGTAGTATTCATATTGGTTATTTAATGAATTTTACTTTCTTTATTCTTTAGCAGTTGTTACCACTGCTACAATGCTAACTTACTAAAAGCTAAAACAATTTCTATATTAGATTTAAAAGTATATTAAGGGCTACACAAGACATAGTAGTTACCTTACAAAGAAGAAATCTTGTCTCTTGCCTTTGCATCATTAAACAGAACAGGAGTTGGAAAATTAAGTCCTAAGTAATTACATTATTTTTATGTTGTCCCTTTCTTTCCTTACAAAATGGAATACTTTGGTTATCAGAAGTTGCCTTAAGTATCTTTATACATATATGTCATAATCGTAATAAAAATAGCATTCATGGTGGTTTCTCTTGGAGCCACTGGTTAAAACACTCCATCGTGGGTCTCTGTCAATATATCTGAAAACTTTTTCTTGGCTTCTGGCTTTGAACAAAGTTTTAGAGTAACAACAAGGCTTCATTGTGCACTGAAATTTCTGTAAGGCAACATTCATTCAAGTGTTGATCTGCATTTCACCGTCCAAGAATAACAACAGTTATTTATATAATTTTATCCATGTTTCTGTTTTTTCCTATCCATTTCACCCTTTCACCCCACCCCTGCTGAACACTGTAGCTTGTTTAGGATGGGGGTGGGTGTACCATGAAGTGTATATACACATACAGATTTTTTTTCTTTCCTTGTCTTGCTATGGGATAGACTTTTTCTTATTAATATTATTTAAAAGTTTGGAATCAAATATTTTATATTATTTGTAAGTAATGGAATAGGTCTCCATCATCAGGATATGTTTATTGAACAGAAAACTTAATCCATTTCAAGTTAGGGTGACCATAGAACAAAGACTATGATAAAATCTACAACCCTAAGTGATTTGACTAAAAAAGTGCCCAAATATTTCAGCAAAATCCTTACCAAGGCCTCAAGCGAGATAGGCATCCATAGTACTCTCAAAGACTTAGAGTTTTCTATGTGCTTTAATGATAATCTGAGTCCATTACAGTATAGGATCAACTATTCAGTCCTATTGAGAAAATTTTGCTATTGATTCAATGACTTAAATCAAGTTGTATGAGACGAAATGTTCATGTACTTATGATAATATATATCATTCAAGCTACACTACCAGTTTTTTTTAGCTAAAATGCGCTAAAATATTAAAAGCATTAAATATAGTTTTATATTAAAGTATCATTTAAAAATAATTTTAAAATACTGTCTACATTTTTCTGGTTTTATAGACAAGTTTTTTATAGTCATGGCTCCAAGATCTTTTCTTTGATCTGTGGTATAGCTGGTGGAGAAGAAAGAGTTGGACTAAGTCAGAGATCAATCTGTAGCTGTACTTTTAGCCAATAAAAGGAAAGTAGCTACCAGGGTAATTTGTAAAATGCAGAAGAGGAAGATGAATCCAGGTCATCATCATTATTCAAAAGCAGTGTTTCAGGGAATGAAGTTTGCAATTGTATTTGGGGTTGTGGGGAATTAAGTCACATGGATGGTGCCATTGCATATCCAGATGGTCATCCACTTACCTATCGGCTGCAACTGCAGGTAGAAAAGACTTTGCTCTTATTTCGGGGAACTGCCCAAATCTAATCAGGACATGAGTTTATTAGGCCAAGAGAAAGGACTTCAGGCATAGGGTGAGCCTACAGCAGAGCCTTACAGATGAGTTAGAGAAACACTGGGCTAAACCAGGTCAACAAAATTAACCATAAGGGAAGGCAGCAACTCAGTGGTGGTGTGTCTCACCTTGGGTTCCCTGAGAAACAGACTGTAAGCCAGTGACTTAAGTGCAAGTAGTTCATTTGGAAGGTGAAGGAAATACGGTTAGAGGTGTGGAGAAGTGGAGCAAGAGAGGAAAGGCATTGGACAAAGAGCAGTTTATCAAGGAAGCCTAATCCTGCTGGAACATTCTTGGAGCATATGCAGACTACATCAGAGTCAATCTACCCAGGGGTGCGGAAGCGGGGAAGAGGGAGGGTGTATTTACACTTCAAAATCTCTGACACTTCCGGTCTGGTGTGTGGGTGGTAACTCAGGCTCCAGGAACAAGAAAAAGCCACAGGCAACAAAATGAAGGTGCTGGTAATTGGAACGCTCATGGCATTGTCAAAGTTGTCTGGAAGATCAGGAAGTTTGCCTCAGCAGTCAGAGAGCCTTAGAGAAAACAGCTAAATGAAGATGGGAAAGACAGGTGACAACCTGTCTGCTGGGAAACACTTCCTACTTTCATGCCTACAACCCTCACTGACCTACTCCTGAGCAGGTCAGGTCAGTGAGCCTACTGGGGCAATGGACAGTAGGCATTAACACGTTACAGCTGTTCCCACCTCCTCAAGAAGTCTTCATGGGCTTGGAAGTTTTCCAGGTTATTCCAGATATAATAGCGAGGACACAACTGATCTCAGCAAAGAGAGTCTGACTAGGAGTCAAGTGAAAAGACCCAGGTTTTAACTTGAATGATGGCATTAGCTAGTTTTATTCTTGGGGCATCTCATTCTGCACTTCTGTTTTTATTTTCTATGTAGAATGGGAATTATAGAGAATCAATTTTAATTTCTGAAGAAAAGAACAAAACTATGGGTGTATGAAAGCTCTTTGTAAATTATAATGTACCATGCAAATGTTTCTCATTAGGATTAATTTCCATTGCTGACTGAAAATAGCATCAAGTATTGTCTATATCCATACACTAGTTTAAACAGGAAATGTTTGAACATGGCCACATATTTTTCCTCAAAACTGATTAGTTTGTATAAACACATAAATGTAAAATAAACTTTAGGTGACCAATTAAGATCACTGGATTGTCACATATAGCCTGGAGTTCTACCTCAAAACATGGAAAATATGCATGCAACCAACTTAGAAGTGATTGAGGAGGGAAAAGCCAGTTGATTGGAAAAAGATCTCTCTCTCTCTCTCTCTCTCTCTCTCTCTCTCTCTCAATTTTGTTGAATCAATCACTGTAAAGATATTGCTAACTTTGAAAGTTGTCTTACTTTATCCATCTCTTCATTTCAGAATGAAAAATTTTGAAACAAATGATTTAGCATTTTCTCCTAAAGAAAATTTTGGAGACAACAGTGGACTTGCAGCATATGTGGCAAAAGCAATAGACCCATCTCTCAGCTGGGAAGATGTTAAATGGCTCAGAAGACTGACATCACTGCCCATTGTCATGAAGGGTATTTTAAGAGGTTTGTTTACTTCTCTACTTGAACGCACGCTGATTTCATGATCTTTTGTGGACATGGTGATGACATTTTTAAAATAAAATATTAGTCAGGAAAAATTATCTTGAGAATCAAAGAGACATTCTAACTCAATTTTTCTCTTCTGATGTTAGTGAGTAAATTTCTCCTTGTCTTTAGGCAATATTCTGAAACAGAGTTGAACTCTCATTAAGCACTAAGTTACATTTTTCAAAATGTTAGGATATCATAGCTTTATTTGGAGCTGTTACTGAGTCATGGAACTTAGTAGAATATCATGGGTTCATTGCTTTACCTGAAAGCTACAATAATTACTCTCAGACCCGAGAAGTCCTGAGGATGGCATTATGACAGCCAGATCTGTTTTAAGAGCTTCTTATTTTTTTCTTATGTTCCTTCCAAGTGCCAATGACTAGTTGAGTATAATGAAATCCACATCATCTCTCTGTAGAGAATAGTGGACTAGGACAATAAAATTCTCAATTGTTATTAAGGAACTTGATTCTTACTCCAGTGTCCACTTGTATTTAAATCCCACAGAGAGTTAAAATGACTGCAGTAACTTTGGAGTGCAAATGTTTTCTTGTTTTTGGAAACAGTTTTTTTTTTGTTGTTTGTTTTTTTAAGTATGGTTATAGAGGTAACTCCCAAAACATTTTTTAAACTGATATGTTTCAGTAAGAAATTTTGGAATTAGTGTATTAACTCTTCTTAGGGTCTAATAGCATAGAATCTAACCTTGATCATAGATTGGACATGAGCATGGGTGACTCTCGTGGCCCCTATTTATGAAGCTCTAGGCATGCTACCTACTTTGACTTTCAAACATTTCTATGCAGAAATGAAGCTCATAATGGTAAAAGAAAAAATAATGGACCCAGTGCATCTATTAGGTTGTGGAAATAGGTTTATATAGCTCTGTCTTAATTTTTGCTTTAAAAAAATTGTTACACAGTTTTCTATTAATCAGAAAAATCAGAATTGCTGTAAATTTTATACTTTGCTGTATATATATTGACTAACATATACCATTAAGTAACAATTCCACTTACCTTATGCATCCATGTTGTCATCCACGATTATTAGTGCTCCTTCCTGTGGCCACACTCAACTGTAGATACTAGAGACCATTAACCTGGACATTTGTGCCATTCATTCAGTTCTCTTATTCACTCATTCAATCACTCACTCCATAAACATTTATCATGCTTATTTATACTAAATTAAAGAAGATAAGTTGAGGTCCTTGGCCAAAAGGAAAGCCTGTTCTTATAGAAGGGAGATATACAAGTAAACATTTCAGGTTAGTAAAATGGTGATGATGCTGATAGGAGTCTATGTACAAGGTAGTGGCTTTAAAATGGTTTGAGACTAGAATGGGTTAAAAAATATTTCATTTAAGAATGAAGAATAATGTTTGACTTTTGCCATAATACGGGCCCAGCCATCTATTTCAGACTGGAATATTGGCAGAATAAAGCAGTTATGGGTAACAAATTTTCCAATATGCAAGCTGTATTAGAGAATGGAGTCTAAGGTAGTTGAGAACCATGAAGTGTCTTGATCAGAGAAGCCACCTCATCAGATTAGTATCTTAGTAAAAATCATATTTTGTCCAATAAACATAATGGATGGTGGTAGCCAAATGAAGTCAGGGAGGGTATTTAGGAACTATTGTTGTACAGGCAAGAGACTATTAGTTGATCTAGAATAATGCCAGGTATAATTGAATTAGAAGATTCATGCAGTTAATCATAGAGATGGCACAGAGGAACTGGATTGAAAATATGAGGGAAGAATAAAATTTTAGTCTAGTCCCCAAATTATCTCACTTTAATAGGGGACAAATATAAGAATGAGATCATTTCATTTTTAAGCAACCTTTCAATTTTGGATTCCCAATTTATATTATTTTCTACAACTTTGCCCTCTAGAATATGATGCAAACCTATTAAATTATATTTATTATGATGTGTTCCATTGATAAATAACTTGCCATCTAGAACTTCTCTCTGTGATCATTTTACCAAGGACAAACACCACTGCCACCACTGCAATCATCTTTCTTTCCTTCTCATCCATAAGGATTATCTAGCTCATATTTACCTGCTTTCATGATATTTTATACATAATAGATAGCTCAAATATTTATTGAGTAAGATCCTTAGTGAAATCTATATAAGTCTATATAATTAGAGAGAACTCGAAAAGCAAGATAAAGAGAATGTGGCATTTGACATTTGAAAGGAAATTACTTATTTACACATGTAACGTTTACATTGTCTAGTTTTTCTGTAACTATTTATTTCATTTATTTAACAAACAAGAACAATCTCTATGACAACAACTATATCAAGTAACACATATGGCCAATCTGGATATGGGGGAAGGGTGGCCAGGCTAGTTCTGGGAAACCCAGTTCTCTCCATTTCACAGGTTTTCTTCCAGAAGTCACATGGGCCAACCGAGAGTCACCCATTTTCTTTCATTTTCCTTTTACCAGAAAAGTACAGCTTATGTTTGCAGGAACATAAAATCATGAACAGCTGGAAAGATTGAGATGAAACATCCCACCCTTACCACCATTTTAAGAACTGCATTTTAATGAATGCAAATTGGAATGCAAAATGTAATCTCTTGCTGTGGTTAAGCTCTGCCCTTGCAGAATTTCAACAAAGTTCCAAATATGTACCTCAGACAGGATTTGGTATTTGCCCAAACTCATGCTAACCAACAAATGGCTTTTTAAAAAATTTCTTTTATTCATATGTGCATACAATATTTGGGTCATTTCTCCCCCTTTCCCCCCGGCCTCTTCTCTTTCCCCCCCACCCCCTCACAACAAATGGCTTTTATGAGTAAAGACAAAATGATTTTGATTTTTAGAATTTCTTTTTTTTTTTTTAAAGTAGGCTGTCTCATTTCCATTGTGGCTTTTTGTTTCTGAGAAATGGTTCTGTAATTAGCTCTTTTCATATATATGTTTAAGACACTCTTAAAGAATATTCATTCACTATTCTTGGATCATATTCAAAATTCTGCCATGTATGTGGGATTCACTTTCTGAAGTTGCATAAGTCAGTATAGAGTCCTGTGTCAAATACTCCAAGGGCTTGAAGGTAAATCTTGAGGACTAGAATTTTGCTTTGGCATTGGAGAACAAATATGGAAATAATATATTAATAAGACAGCAAACAATGCTATTACCTATTGAACTTAATTTCTTAAATACCAACATATTTAATGAAAAATTAACATATATGGAATGCACAACAGTATTTGATGAGGATTAATGAAAATTGCAGATATTCATGAATATTTGGCTAAATCTGAGCATTTTGACATTTTCATGAAGGCAAAATTGCTTATCTATCTAGTTATAAGGTATTTATTTTTTTCAATACTGGAAATCTAACCCAGGGCCTCACGCTTGGTAAGCAAATGCTCTGCCACTTAAACCATGCCTCCAGCCCTGTCTGCTTATAAAATAAACAAACAAAAAAATAACAAAAAAATGTAAAATTGGGCTGGAGATATGGATGAAATGGTAGAGTTCCTGCCTAGTGAGCAAGAGGCCCTGAGATCCATCCCAGAACAACTAACAAAAAAGTAAAATTGTGGATAGATTTTATAAGCAGCTAATGAAAGGGGTTTATATCTGATCATGAATAATTCTTTCTCTCTTTGCTTCTCAAAAACTCATGGTCCTGTCTTTTTAGCAAATCATGTTGTCATTTGCCCTTATATGTCTAGCACTTCATGGAGAACACGGAAACCCACATCAAGTGATTACAGATAACAAACTACTTTTTAGTTCAAATGGAAGGCCCTTCCTAATCACATCCTACTAGGATGAAACTGTATTGTTAAAAATAAAACTCAAATAGTCATGCCCAAAGCACTGTTTAGAATCTGTTTTTTGATAATATTTGATTTCTGAAAACATAGGTTGTAGCTAATCACTGGCAGATATCTGAATATGAACTAAAGAACTCCACATATGCTCAATTATGGGGTTCATAAGATATCATAATTCAAGTATATAAGTGTATCTATCTATCTATCTATCTATCTAAATATAGATAGATAGATCTATAGATATATAATATGTTACATTTGACTCAGTGTTTGGTATCATACATATGACTAGATGACCAGAGGAAACCACACTATTTCAGCATATAACTTTGCACTGTTTGCTCAAGTTTATTGTGGCCACATATAAACTTTTAAATAATGCCGTACTGTATCTACCTCTTTACTAGGATAAATAAGCTTGTGTAAGCATTACAGATGAGCTGTCTGATATAGTATCCACATATGGTAGTCACACGTGACTAGTTAAATTAAAGATTAAAATTCTATTATTAATGGAAAATTAAAATTAATTAAAAATACAATTCTATTTCCTGAGTCATGCTGTCACATTTCAATTACTTGGTGGTTACATCTGATTCGCAACTATTGTACAGAACAACATAGAACTGAAACATCTCTGTGATCATGGAAAATTGCATTAGACAACAGTGCATAATGTGTTGAGCTTTTGATTCAAAAATATGGACTGTATACATATGTACTCTCTTATCAAACCTAAGACCCCACTAAAATTAAAGTACAGAAATCCAAATATATATGTCAGTGACAGCAAAGCACAGACAGTAGAGGAATTTTTTAAAAATTATGAAAGAAGCAAAATATGAGGAGGTTTGTTGATAGAAGGAAATTTCACAGAAAGTTGCACCACAAGATAGGCTCTGAGGAGGCAGGGAAAAATTACATAATGGAATATCTGTGAGAAGCTAGGTGTGTAGTGTGCAAGTTGACAAAGGTGGAGAAATTGAGGATGAAAGTTAGGGACTGACTGAATATCTGTTTGTTAAGCTGTTGGACTGACTAACAATCCCAGTCACACCCAATCCCTCTTATGTAACTGGGACACCACATGGGCGGAGAACTCTTAAAATATGATGTGATGCTGTCTTCATTCTGACACGAGCTCATGTTCTTAAGCTTCTTCTTAGCTGACATTTCTTGCCTTTTGCTACATGGAGCTACAAGAAGGAATTTTCACTTAGTAAATAGTTGGCAGGAATGAAATTGATTCATAAAACATCTAAGGAATCCTATATCTATTCCTAGTTCTTTCTTCCCTAAATGCAAATGGAAAATTTAGTATCACAAAGCATATCAGAAACATAAAAAACATTTAAAAAACCAAGAAGCTGATGCCAGAGGGAAGAGATAAAATATGACAAAGTACTTAAAAAATTCAAATAATGGACTCAGAGAAATTAAAAATATATCCAAATAAGACAGGTGCGTTGTGAAAAGAAAGTCAGACTATGATTACATACACTAGTTTTGCTTTTTTTTAAAGGAAAATTGGAGTATTGAAAAAGCTCCCAAAGATTAAAAATGTGGGCTGGAAGCATGGCTCAAGTGGTAGATTGCCCACCTAGCAAGCACAAAGTCCTGAGTTCAAATCCCAGTACCAGGCGTTTTCCATGTGGTCTGTGAGGTGGGGGATTCTCAGATGTTTCTCAAGAATATGGAGCCAGTAGCCTAGGTCTAAAGAAGTTTAGCTTGCAGCATGTAAACGAACAGGCCATGAGAAAGAGAGAATAGGGCTTTTAGCACATACTCACTGAACTAAGGAATCTCTGTTTTAGGGCTCCCTTTGCATATTCCCATTGCTGATGTCTAACTGCTATCATGAGGACCATTTTAAAATGTCAGATATCTAACTAATTGGGATTTCAGATAGAAAAACAGAAAGAGTCAGGAAGAAATTATTAAAGATGGACAATTTCTGAATGCTCATGACATAAATTATTTGTCTGAGAAAATAAATCAGACAGTATCACATTCATTATGGAATTGCAGGAAAAGAAAATGCACATAAAGAGAGGGAAAATAAACATAATAAATCAGTTTATTATAAAGAAATTTAAGTCAGACTGGCAGCAGTCTTCAGGTCAATAGTGGATATCAGAATACTGCAGAGTAATAGCTCCACTTAGAGTGTTATACCTGATCCAATTATCCCTCAAACACAAAAAGTCATTCAAGTGCTCTGTTAGTTTACCTCTCATGGATTCTTTCTATAGACAGTTGCAAAGCAATGTACTACAAAGGAAAACCTAAATTGAACAAGGGTATTCATATGACTACACGATATTCAACCCAGAGAGAATAGGTGCAAACCTATAGGACGAAGGTAGATAGTGGGCCTGAGAGTAATCATAGCAGAATGAAGCAAGAATAAAAACGATTCCAGGTATTTGCTTCCAGGGGGAAAATAAGATAACTTAAATAGGTTAAATAGAATAAATTGAGAGTTTTGAAGAATCTGAGGATATACCAAAGTCTCACAATAAATGGTAAAAAAGAAAAGTAATTAGAAATCTAAGAAAATAAAGTTGTGTAATGAAGCATGCATGATCTAAATATAAGGCAACAATAAAATGTAAAATATGAAGCAATGATGGAATGCGAAAAGCCATCTTGCCATCTTGAGGATAGGGCCTTTTTCTCATGAGTAGCTTGGAAGTTACCAATGAGATTTCATAATGTAATACATGTTTGGATTAAAAATGTGCCTGGATGAAGGATGAGGGGGTTTCCTCAGCTTCCCAGTTTCCATGAAAAATCACAGGAACTTGAGATTCCAATGAAAAGAATTTCATGTAGTTTCACAAAAAGGAGAGTCTCAAAGAGGGAAGTTTTAGCAAAGATTCATTTTAGTATTACAGGATAAAGTGGTAGAGAAATGGAAAATAAAAAGAAAAGCATTTCCTGCTTGAAGCGTAAGGATGGGAGCTCAAAAATGGCAGCCTCTGAGCTAGGGAAATAAACCTAGTCATGTAGTTAGCATATGTTAATCATTAGGGTGGCCAAAATGAGTGCTGTTTATGATTCTAAAACATGAAGATGTGATGTAGTTCTCTCCAAAATACTGGGACAATATAGGTGAGTTCAAGATTTCCATTTGCCAGACTTGCCCTCTAATTTTCTGTCTCTACTTATTTGTGAAGAGATTGTAACTTCTTTAACATCTTAAAGGAGAAGGCTATGATGTAGACAGGCCTTTTATTTCTCCTTAATGTTGTAACTAAAAGGAGGTGATAAGAGGGCGCTTGTTGCTCGGATTTTTCAGTTTACTTTCTTGTTCTAATTTCTGACTCTGACCCTTTTAATATTTATTATTTTTAATTTCCCTGTCACTTCATCTATGTATCCCTCCTCAAAAACAGATAGCCAAAAATGGTCTCACTGAAGCACTGCAAACTTAATAAAAAATAAATATAGACCATCACCCATACATGGAATAAATAACAAAATGCATAGCACAATACAGGTTTACCAGTGAATAGATAACATAGAAATTATAGACGTTCCTCAATTTTTATAGGGTCATGTCCTGATACACATCATAATTTAGCCTAGCACACCATAAATGTGCTCATAACACTTACCTTGGCCTACAGTTGGACAAAATCATCTAACACAAAGCCTACTTTATAATAAAATGCTTTTGTAATTTATTGAATACATGCCTTGTAAAAGCACCTCCAACACAGCACATTGCAGAGTATTGACCGTTTTTCCTCATGATCCTGTGACTGACTGGGAGCTGTGGCTGGATGCCCCGGCTAGCAGTGACAAGCATTGCACAGTGTTTGGCTACCCCAAGAAAAGATCCAAACCTAAAAGGAGAAGCATGATTTCTACTGAATGCATACTTTTTTCACACTGTGATAAATCTGAAAAACTATAAATCAAGGACTATTTACAGTTTTTAAATGCTAGAAATTCATATGTCAAATGACCTTTTATATGATTTCATTGTATTTTAGAGTTTGTCATAGCATTCCTTAAAGGTAGAGTTTCTTATAATAATGTTACTAACAATAATAATAAGTTTTAGTCAGCTCAAGTTACCATAACAAAATACCATTGACTCGATGGCTTAAACAAGAGACATTTATTTTCTCACAATTCTAGAAGGTAGGAGTCTCAGGTTAGGGTGCACCTTAGACAGTTTCTGGAAAGGACTCTCTTCTTGAGCTATAGATGGATGCCTTCTCTTTGTGTGCTCACAAGATCTCTTTGTGTAAGGACGTGAGAGAGAGAGAGAGAGAGAGAGAGGGAGATAGCTGAAAGAGCTTTATAGTCTCATTATTATGGGGCCCATCTTTACACATCCTTATAATCTCCTGAAGAACTCACATCCAAATAACATTACACTGGTTGTTAAGCCTTCAGGAGTTTGGGGATGACACAGACTATAACACATAGTTTAACATTTTTATATGCCTGCAATTTTAGAGAAATATTACTATCATCATTTTGTACAAATGGGAATATTTCAATAGTACTATTCCATGGATTACAGTTTGGAAAATGGTGTTTTAGCATAAAAAATTTTGAAACAATAAATATTTGAGATTCTCCTGGGTATCTTTTTAAATTTTATTTATTTATATATTTTTATTCTGAGGACTGAATTTAGGACCTCACATTTGCTATGCAAATGCTCTACGAGTTCAGCCATGCCCCCAGTCCTTCTGCTTTCAGTTTGTTTTTTAGATAGTTTCTATTACTTTTGCCCAGGCCAGTCTCAGACTACTGTCCTCCTACCTTCATCTCCTGAGTAGTTGGGATTACACACATGCACTACCACACTTGACTATCTCCTGTGTTTCTTTAAAATTATTCTTAACTAAGTCTACCCTTGATCTCTATTGCTGAATTTATAGAGATATTTAGTCTTCTGTGCCTACCTGTATAAGTCTCTGTAGTCTGATTTTCAATGCAACTTTGAAACAATTGGTTTTACTTAGTATTGCTTTTTGAGTGTTAAACTTGAGAGCCATCATTATGGTCATAATAGTGTTAACAAATGTGAGTATGCTAAAACCAATAGTTAAGAATAAAAATACTAAAAATATGTTGGGAGTTGATTTAAGACAACATTGGTGTATTTTAAAACTAAGTTTGTAGAAACCAACTAGTCCAAACACAGAGGACTATTTGGTATTCCCCATGTACACCTATACATCTAATTATAAAGCATGATTAGTGATGTATCTTATAATTTTAACATTACATTTTTATGTATTTCAGTGTGCAAAATACATTTGATTAGATAATAATATAATTTGGATAAGTTATTGAAATTATAACAACTCTGCATTAAAGATTATTTTTGAAATAGAGTTTTTTATTGCCTGGTACACTTAAAGTGCTTGTCACTTAAATATTATTTATGTTATTAAAAATTTAAAAGAATAATTATGATAACTGGTAAAATTGGTATAACTTTATTAACTAAAAAATACTTAGTAGGAGTACAGCTTTGCAGAAGTAAATTCTAACTGTATGCCAATTTACTATCTATTGATAATTCTATTACATAATTAAATTGTTATAATTGTTAAATTTTGGGAGTAAAATTACCACTAAAACTTTTGACATAACCCTTGGGCAAGTTTTCATGCTAAGAGCATTAAAGTGTGTGTGAATTAGAGGTTGTCTTCCCTTTGACAGGGATGCTGAAGCCTCAAAAGCATAGCTTTTTGTTAAGTTGCTGGTGTTTCACTCTTTGCAGGCGATGATGCTAGGGAGGCAGTTAAACATGGAGTGAATGGAATCTTGGTGTCCAATCATGGGGCTCGACAACTAGATGGAGTACCAGCCACTGTGAGTTTCTGTACATGCTGGGATTTCTCCTGGAAATCCCCATCTTGTCACAGTTTTGACTATCTTTTGTGTGTATGTTTTTAATGTGATAACTCATGTGAAAGTTTGAGATCTCAGATTTAAGTGACACAGAAATACTGAAATTAGCCAGTACAATGTTTTTAAAATTAGCCTAATACATTTATCTTTAAACTTAAAAAATCAGTCCTGATAAGCAATAGGGCATTTGTGGGCAGGGATTATTCTTGTAATCGGGTACATCAATAAGTATAATGTAAATTGGAGTATGAAAGAAAAGATAAGTCACACGAATACAAAGAACATGAATTAATAGGCAATTGTGAGAATTAAAAAAGCCTTTGGTCTAGTTTGATCTCATGGACACAATTATGGCAAGAAGTTAGGGGGAAGGGCAGATTGGATTTCCAATAGAGTTAGGGGTTGAAAACCTGCAGAGAGAAGAGTGGTGAGTGGGGAAAGGAGATAGAAATCCTATGTTCCGGGTGAGAGGAATTCAACTGGAAAGAGGCTGCTCTGGTTGAGCTGTGAAGTGCCTTGGCTGCACATTGTAGTCATCCAGAGAACGTTAAAGAATCACTATGCCCAGGCTACACCAAAGATCAATTCATTGGAAACCCAGGGTCATCAAAGACACCAGTATTTTTCAAAGCTACCCAGGAGTTTCCAAGATGCATCTATCATTTTTATAAACTGTTCACACTATGCTAGACAAAGCAGAGTCCAGAATAGAAATATAAAAACCAAATTAAACTAGCCTGCAAATTGTGGTACTGAGTTAGAACTGTAACACAGAGCAATTAGCTCTAAGTGGGCCCAAAGCCAAAGTAAATTTTAAGTTCAAGGATTAGGGAAGGAGAAATGGTTCAAAAGTCATGGAGACAAACACATACACTTGGGTGGGTTTCATGGATCCATGATCCAGAATGGAAGGTGTGGCGGGGGTGGGGCAGAAGCTGCAGCAAAGTGGGCATATTCGAGACTGCTTCCTTTATCTGCTGCCTACTAGCGAGATCTTGGCCAAGATTCTTGTAGATGAGGCAGTAGTGGTGGAGCTATCTTTTAGCTCTGCCCTCTTCCTACCAGGACCCCTATCTTTAGAGCTGTGATCCTAAATGTAGAATGGGAAAGAATGAGATGTTCTTGAGGAATACCAACTAGTCCACTGTGTTTGGACTATTTGTGGGAGAGAGGTCCTAAAAAATACACCTATCTGGATAGGTAAGGAAGAGCTTCTTTAATACTATGGGTCATTGAATATGCAACAGAAGAGCCCTGGTTTATAAAATGAGTGTTATAAGTTGGATTTTAGTATGACAAGTGGAAGGAAGACCAATTAGGCATCCTTGATGATTACCATAGACAGAGAAAAGATGGAGAAAGGGAATCTGAAATGTGCATGGACTGAGGAAATCAACTTCCACTCCAAAAATTGTGGTTTCCTTATCTTTAGAAGTCAGACATTGTTTAGACGATTTCTTTGGTATCTTTCATCTGTAATGTTTTATAGTTTGAGTTATTATAGGCAAAGTAAACTCATATCACATAACAGAACTTAAAAATTGTATTTACTAAATGATATGGATAGATTTTCCAGACCTGGGTCATTCTCTACACTGGCTCATCATATACATTGTCCTCACTTTTATCAGAACCCTTCAGTCATAGTTAATATCTGGATGGCTGATTCAGACAAAAGGAAGTAGAGTAGAAAAATAGTAGCCAAGCAGTAATGCACTACTGTTTCATCAAACTAGCAGGTTGCTTTAGCAAAATCCATACACCATTTGTGTGAGTCTTATGGAAGAGTAAATGTTGGCAGGAAAACGTAGGGTGTGTATATGGCACTCACAGTTTTTTCCAAAGCGTTAATGGTTGCAACCAACCAAGTCTGTACACAGTAGGATTATACTGTCAAAGATTTAAAATCATAAAACTGGAAATTGTCAATCCTTTCCGACTCAGATTTACTCCTAGAGACACTACATTTTAGGTGATATTAAATGTTGCCTTCAGGTAAAAAGAGGTGGAAAGTGAAACTCTCTTTGGACAGGGTGGAGAAGTTGGTTACAGCTCAAGGCTTTTGCTCAGATTTATGCCTCACTTGTGTATGAAGACATAGGCTCAGTGTGCGGGCCAAATTAAGTTTGTTTTCTAAAAATAAATTATAAATCTACTGAAATCAAATCTAACTAGATTTTAAGGGGAAAATATCTAAATGGTGTGGTTTCGTTCCCTCTAGCTGAGGGCGTATGGAAACTTATCTAAAAGGGCTTTTTGAGTTGTGGTCTTGGAGAGTGTTTTTAAAAAAGCAATAACCCTCCCCTTTGTATGCTGTGTGCATGAGAGGAGATACTTGCTTGAGTTTTGCTCCATACTTTAGAGCAAATTTAAGGCCAATGATGATGAGAGGAATGTGAGAAAAGACTCAGTTTATGGAGAATAGTGTTTTTCCCTCAGTGTGTGGGTTCTGAGGTGAGTGGTCAAAGGCCTGAAGGAGGCTGTAGTTTAAAACTTTTCATTAGAGGCACAGAAGATCTCACTGTGCTGCAGATTTGATTACATCATAAGTCAAAGCACAGGCACAGTATGATGTCATGAGGGGGCAATGAAATGGTAGTTTTGGGTTTAAGTCTCTTGTCCATTGCCTTTCCTAAAGCGTAAAAGATAGGGGAGTAGGTCCCTCAGAGCTTTTTTTTTTTTTGCCTGAGTCTCTTCCTAGAGTTGTGTTGATTTCAAAAAGAAAGTAACTGGAGTTTATGATTTCTATAAACCATAGGGTTCCTTTGTGTGGAGAAATACTTACTGTTAAGAGTCCTAGACTAGGAATATAGCTTCAGTTCGTCTTAATACATCGCTCTGAAAACTACTGCAGGACTCTGCTACATCTGAAAGGAGTTAAAAACAACAGGTTCATTGGAAGTTTCTTACCATTATGGAAGTAAATATGACCAAGATTGGTCTTGAAAAATTTAGAATAATACGTGAAAATCAAATCAATTCCTCAAATCTATAGCACTAGACCTTCTAAAACTGGGATCTAAAGGTAGATTCTCTAGAGTGTGTGTATCCTAAGACCATTTAAAAAAATTTTACATTTAATTTTGATGCTAAGTGGATTCAAACTACCTCAAACTTTCAAAAATAATACTTTTCTACTCAAAATTCTCAAGTACAAAGCATATTCACTGCACAATATTTGAGTTTTTAAGTTGACATTTCTCAAATTGAGTCCTCAGCCATGTTCTGTGAGGTCTAAGAGATTTTAGTTTTTCTTTTAAAAGGATTTGTGGGGCAGAGGCTAAGCTCAGTGGTAGAATGCTTACCTATCTAGCATACACAAGGCCCTGGCTTCCATCCCCAGCACTAGCACCAGACAATAAAATAAAATTAAAAAGGGTCCATGTAATTTCATCCTTGAGAAATATATAATATATATCAGTTGGCTTTTGCTGTGTAACATACCACACTGAAACATAGTGGTTAAAAACAAAATCCATTTATTCATTTCACAGCTTTGTGGGTTTGCAATTTGTATTGAGATCTGCTGTTTGTGGGGTTCTGGTCCTGTGATTTGATCATATGTGCTTGTGGCCAACTACTGGGTTTCCTAATATAGGCTTGTATAGAGTAAACTTGGCAGAGATGGCTCTGCATTGTCTCAAATATACCAGCATGATGAGGTAGATTTCCTAGAGAGTCATGTCAGGTCTTTTGGGAGCTTGGCTTAGAACTGACACACTGATAATTTTTCTCATATTTTATTGGTGAAAATCGGTCACAAGACCAGGAAGGTTTCCTTCAAATCCTGTACACCATAATCTTGCTAGGAAATAAAGACACAGAGGGAAACAATTTCCATCATTGTTGCTTTTGCAAACAATGAGCTAAACCATTGTAGACCAATGATTTTCTAAGTGTACTTGAGAGAAATTCACATCTGCCTGGTGAAGGGTGATGGGTGGCATGGGGCAGAGAATCAAAGGAAGATTTATGGATAGTGACTTAGAGTCTCTGCGGTTAACTAAAGCAACTTTGTGTTTATCCGATATTGGTTATGTTCACCTGTTTTGGTTTGAACAGTTCTATGTCTAAAATGTCAGAAATTGAGATAATAAAAATACATGCTATAGGGATATGTGCCAACAGAAAAGAAGGAAACATAAACAGTGCTATAACTTAGTGAGTTTGTGTACCTATATTTATTTATTCAATCTTCCCTCATTAGAATTATTTTGTGCAATGTGAAAGAAAAAAGAATGCTAGAAATGCTCAATATTGGATAGAAATTTCTGATCCACAGACACATCAAACACAAATGCAGGCTCCATTTTATTACCTTGTGTTCACATTTTAGGTATCCTTATTAGCTTGTTTTTAGGCCAGGTTAGGAATTGGAAATAACCTAAACAAGACTTGATTTGTGTGACTTTGAAAATGCATATTGAACCCAAGCGAGCTAATATTTTTCTTTGGTTTTGGTTTCAAATGAGGAAATATGCTTAATTATGGCTTGCATCATCGTTCGGAAATTGTAGCATTTCTATATTGATGTAACCTGCCTGAATGTAAAAGGAGTACTATGCATAGGTAAGGGGACATATGTAAATGGATCCAAAGCATGTTTAGCAAGGCAGTAAAGCCAAAAGGAAAAGGGGAAAATTACATTACCTGCCAAACATTTAGAAGCCACATGCCAAGTGTTGCCTCTACTTCCTCCAAAATCTGTAGCTGTATTTGGTTTTTAGCCTTTTACATAAAACTCTTTTTAACTTTAGCTACTAAAATTTTAGAAGAGAAGTAGGAAAGCCTTTGAGTGATTTCAGCACAATTATTTCTGGATAAAGTACAGTTAAGTGTATGGTAGCTTCATGGCATACATTTATTTATTTATTTATTTTACGTCTTGTTTTGTCAGGGGGTGCTGGCACTTGCACTTGGTTTTTGGCTCACTGTTGTTCCTACTGGGTAGAGCGGCCGGGCTTACATTTTAAATGCAGTCTGGACTTCATTTTAGATTTCAGCATTTTGGGATGAATGTAAATAATTTCTACAGATTTCATTTACAGAAAGCATTTCAAGTCTCAAATGCAAAGATCGAAGAACAAATTAGCCAATTGTACCTGTTAGAGTCACATGCTGATATTAAGCAAACAATCCCAAACTTGTGATTTTAGTCAACATATATTCCCTTGAAATTGTGCCAACAGTGTCTCTTGATCCGGCCTGGGGACTAGTTATCTGACTGTGCTCCAAGTTTCAGGTCCAGCTGGGCTTGGCTAGGATAGTTCGGCTTCCTGAAAAGTTGTTCTGGAGTCCAAGCTGTGAGGGGAACATTACCTGGGGGATTCTCATCTCATGATAAATGGCAGAGGTACAAGAATAAGTAGAAATGCCTAAGGTTGCTTAAAGCCTATGCCCAGAAATAGCCCTTTGCCACCTCTGCTCACGTGTTATTGGCCGAAGTATTTGCATGGTCAGAGTAAAAGTCAAGGGGTAGGCAAGTACATTCTTTCCTTTTAATGGAAAAAAATGTGAAGTTCCTTGGAAAGAAGGTGGATTCAGAGAGATGTGGAGGATCAGGAAGAATAAAACAATCCACCAGTTCAACTTCTATGAGTTTCTTGTATTTTCTAATCCCATCATCAGTTGTCAATCAAGACAAGGACCTTCAAGCTGCATGTAAACATCGAAAAGGAAGGAAAATGTTTTCACTGAGCATTCTCTAATGTTTATCTGAATGTAAACTATGTTAGACAAGGAAATCAGAGGTTACATTTTCTTCATTACTAGCTATGTTTGCATTTTATACAACCACAGCTTGCACTATCATCTGTGAATTTTAACCACTGATTTGCAACAAGTAAAACATTTAGAACAATTTACATCAACAAGATACTTCACTTACTTTCATAAAAGAAAAGCTATAAAATATCAAATGTTTTAAAATTATGTTTATATTTTTATCAAAATTCTTGAATTTGAATATCAGGAATAGGAAAACAAACCAATGCTGCACTTTGAAAGAAAAACAAGCTATGCCTTTCCAAATATGCTTGATTTTCCAGTTACTAGCATTTGCACTTCTTTCTTTCAGGGGCAAATGATTTTAGAGTTGACCCAAACCTGATTAGTTTCTTTCTCTCTAAGCCCAAGTTGGGTGAGTCAGGGGTCACTGGAAGTAAAGTTGAATAACAATTCAACATTAATTGTGTCACGTTATTGATCTTTTCTTTCCACAGATTGATGTCCTGCCAGAAATTGTGGAGGCTGTGGAAGGGAAAGTGGAAGTTTTCCTGGATGGGGGTGTGAGAAAGGGTACAGATGTTCTGAAAGCCCTGGCTCTAGGTGCTAGGGCTGTGTTTGTGGGGAGACCCATCATCTGGGGCTTGGCATTCCAGGTAATTGGACAAAAAATAAATACATAAAACAGAATGTTTTGATAGTGACACAAATGCATGAAATCAGTTAGACTTAGACTTAACAAATGGTTCTGTATCTTTTACTTGCTTAGGGTGAGAAAGGTGTTCAAGATGTCCTTGAGATACTCAAGGAAGAATTTCGGTTGGCTATGGCTCTGAGTGGTAAGATCCTCATTTTCATTTACAATTTTCTCTACTCCTATGGTTTTTAAGCCAGGCTTCTTGGTGGGGAGAAGCAGATTTGAGGGGGAAGACAATGGTATCATTTGTGGGTCCATTGAATTTGGAGTTGACTTCTTATTTATTTAATTCTAGAGCAGAGCACTTTGAGTTGAAAATTCTCTAAAGTGCATAGTCTATATCAGCTACTTTGCCTCTATCTTTGACAGTTTCATTATGGATATTTTGGTTGACTACTTTAAAGGTGTTTGGCTACCTCATCCTTTGTCTCATAACTCATGACTACATAAATTTGATTGGCTAATCAGCACCTCCACTTGGCTACATGGCAAGTCAGACTCTACCTTTCTAAAACTATAACTTTCTCCATTCTACCTGTTATAGTTGCAGTCTACCCAACTTCAGTTCATGTTCACATCATAGTTTCAGTTGCTCAGGGCAAAAATCCCAAGTCTTTTTTTTTGCCATACTGGTGCTTAAACTCAGGGCTACACTTTGAGTCACTCCACCAGCAAGTTTTTTAAATGGGTTTTTTAAAACATAGAGTCTCATGAACTATTTCTCTGGGCTGACTTTGAACCTTGATCCTCCTGATCTCTGCCTCCTGAGTAGCTAGGATTTCAGATGTGAGCCACCAGCACCCGGCTCAAGTCCTTCTTGATTCTTCTTTTTCATCTCATACCCTTAAATCTATGGGGTTTCCATAACTAGAATAAAACTGAAATCTGACTTCATTGACTGGCTGCTCTGCCATTACCCTGTTCTGCTCCATCATCGTGTCTCTCATTGTAGGTTTGGGGGTCTGTCTTTTTATCTTTGCATTCCTCATGTCTTCCAGTCTCTTCTGATCACTGCAGGAAGAATGCTCATGCAATCATTTAGTGTGGGGAGCAGATTATGGAAGTCTTTGAGAACTTGACATAAGTACAGTTGTGCTCAATGATCTACAGGCTGAGTTTGGCGCTCTCTTCTGCAGAAGAGAGCGAGAAAGCACTCTACAATTTAGCTTATGTTACTTTGATCAGAGCTTTCCAATGGCTCTTGATTTATTCAGAGTAAATGCTAAAGTCTTACAGTGGTTTACAATTTCTTATGTGGTTTGACCCTTGCCTTTCTGATTACAAGTCTTACTACTGTGACTCTTGCTTATTCTACCCGGGTCACATTTGCCTCCTTATGGTCCTTCAGACATATTTCAGTCTGGGAGCTTTTCCATGGTGTATTCCCTTTTCCTGGATCCCTTTCCCTCAGACTTCTTTCTGAATAACTTCCTCATGCCTTTCATGTTTTCACATAAATTGTGCTTTTGCAAAAGGACTTATCATGACTACTTTATTTAAAATAGCAATCTATCCTCCTCTTCTCCATTCAACTTCCAGTTTTCTTTCCCTGCTCTTATTTCATTCTATCACCTTTTATATATTTCATATAATTTGCTTGTTAAATTATATGCATTATATATTATCTCTTTCCTCTCTAGAGTGTAAAAATTGTAAAGCAGGGATCTCTTCCTATCATCTTCAATGCAGAATTTTTAACACTTAAAACAGTGCCTGACACATAGACAATAAATATTTGTTGAAAGAATGAATAAATAAGTGCCATTATTACCAGTGACTGTCCTGAGTCTGACTCAGAATGGACCTCATGCTGCAAAGAATGACCTTGAGTAAATTATCAACTAACTTATTTTTGAAGATAAAGAGTGATTCCTTTTCTGTGACTCCCATGATTCAGATTGTCCTGATAGTTTGAACTCCCAAGATAAAATGTCTACTTACTGCTGTGCTGACCGGGCCTGTTAGACAGAGCCTGCACAAGAAGAATTCCATTCTGTGAATCCTCACTACACATTTTAATTTGCTACAGACATATCCTAAAAGAGAGCTTTCAGCCACTGGCTCTCTATTAAATGTGGCAGAAAGAATACATTCTTTGTGTTAATAAAAATATGTGCCAGTCATTTTGTGTTAAGGACTGTTTAGGTAATAAAAATGGTCTCATGCCACATAAGATTTGGCAAACCTCCCTTGAATCATAAACCTTACATTTGTCAAGTTTTACATTCCTTGGGAAAACGATTACCTGCCTGATTATTATTGCATTCATTTCATATTAAATGTATGCATTATTTTTTCAGGGTGCCAGAATGTGAGAGTCATCGACAAGACATTGGTGAGGAAAAATCCTTTGGCTGTTTCCAAGATCTGACAGTGGACAATATTTTCCCATCTGTTTTATTTTTTTCAGCATGTATTACTTGACAAAGAGACACTGTGCAGAGGGTGACCACAGTCTGTAATTCCCCACTTCGATACAAAGGGTGTCGTTCTTTTCCAACAAAATAGCAATCCCTTTTAGTTCATTGCTTTTGACTTTTCAATGGGAGTCCTAGGAACCTTTTAGAAAGAAATGGACTTGCATCCTGGAAATATATTAACTGTTAAAAAGAAAACATTGAAAATGTGTTTAGACAACGTCATCTCCTGGCAGACTAAAGTGCTGGGAAACAAAAGATATCTTTTGGTAAAATAGAAGGTAGTGAATACTGAAGTTAAAAGATAATGATCTCACTGTTCATTACCCTACATTATGCTTAGATAGCCTCAAAACAGTGGCTCCTAAATTGTAAGCTCAGGTTGGAATGTTGGAAATGCCTGGGGAAACATGAGATTTGAATTCCCAACACAGAAGGTAGCACTGGGTAGAATGGGAATGGATGGTGGTAGTTTTTTTATTTCTAAATACTTTCACTTTTTAACACACTGAGCTGTGCTGTTTCTTTGGATGTAGATGTCCAGTCTCAAATTTAGTGACTGAGTATATCTGAATGGGGGTGGGGTATAGTACCTCTTAATCAAAAATAAAGCACTATTTGAAAAGAATATATCTCGTCCATTTGTGACTATGGAATTCAGTCATTTAAATCTTTGAATCCTAATTATCTTTGTTGCCATTATGCATACTTCATTAATTTCCTTGTGCCTCCTAGATCCTTTTCTTATTTTTTCCTTCTTCCTCATTTATAGTTACATTCAGGGCCAACTGTATAATTTGTGAGGGACACAGTGGTGGTGGTTCTTCTTGCTCTTCCTCTTCCCCTTTCCATTCCATTCTTCCCCTTCTTCCTCCTTTTCTTTTCTTCTTCTTCTTCTTTCTCCTCCTCCTCCCCCTCTTCATCCTCCTCCTTGTCTCCCTCATCCTTCTTCTTTGCTATTTAATGTCATAATTCCTTGGGCATGGAGAGATGGACACCCTACAACAGTGTTGACCCACCCACTGAACTGTGTTTGCTTGGACTTTTCCTATGCCCAGGACCCAGTCAGGGGTGGAAGACAGTGTGATGGCTGAGCGTGCAGCCAAGAACCCATTCCTGGGATGTGGTGCAGGGGCAAGAAAAGGGACGATATGTGATGCTAGGTTCCAAGCCCTTAGAACATGCTCTACTGTTCCATTGGATTCCACTTATAAAACACAAATGCAAAGATAAAGTTATTGAGTATTTTAAGCTATCAACCACAGAGCATCAACTCTCAAGCATGAGGACCCTTTCTGAATATGGAGCCATAATGGCTGTACTGGTGGAAAGCCTATGAAGCTCTGGTAATAGGACTTTTAGATTATTCCCACATCAAGCATTTGATAAGCAGGAGGTAAATGTGGCAGCCAGAGCAATTTTAAAGCTGATTTCTAGCTATCTCCCTGGTGTTCAACCACTGTGAGGTATTGAATGAAACCGTTGAGAGAATCACTACCTTAAAGTACGATTATTACATTTTACTGTTCTCTGATATTCTCTATATACATCTCTAAATTCTAGGGCATCCCTAAATAGTAATATGAGCATAAATACAGATTTTTTTTCTTTCTAAAATTATATCTAAGTTTGATAAAAGAAAAGAATCATCTACTCTGATACAAAAGGTAAAACAGGTCCTATTCAGGGACAGAGAGGGGGGAAAATAAATGGGGAGGGTGAAGAAGGCCAAATATGGCCCATTTCCTTTGTATACATGTATGAAAATTAGACAAGAAACCTGTTGAAATTGTTCTAAAACCAGGGGAGGAGGAAAAGGGAGAATGATGGAGGGGGTGAATATAATTAATACGTTGCAAGCACATATATAAATGTCAAAATGAACCTCTCTGTACAAATAATATATGCTAATTTAAAAACCTTTTCAAATAAAAAAGGAATTGTGATACCTTATCTTTTTTCCAAATGTAAAGAGGCAGTATTATTATTATGTCATTTTTTATGCTTTTCTAACTAGTGATTAATGAATAGTTGTATCATAAGCATATCCTTGATTCTCCCAACTGATTCATGAATGCCCTTGCTGCTGATACAGAAAATTCATTTTGGTTGCATCATAGTTTATAGTCAGGAGATGTCTTCCTCAAATGCTGCTGACATCCTAGAGAATGGGGATTCATAAAAGGACTTTTATGCAAGCTCCAGTGAAAATGAGGACACCTAGTTTTAAACTGTGAATTTCTCATAATTCGTATGAGCCCCTAAACCATGCCACTTCCTTGAATGCAAGTCTCTATTTATATATTCAAAGTTGGGATACATCTGAATGCTTTATTTTTGATAATTTTTTAATAATCAGAAAGATATGCAGTCATTTCATTTTACTTTTTAAAAGAGGGACTTGGATGCAATTGTAACAATACTAAAACCAAACGTTTCTGGTTGTTGAAACAGGAAAGGGGAGTGTTGATTACACATTCCCCTTCTCAGAGATATTATTACTTGTTTATGCATTTCTTTTTAAAATTTAAATTAAATTTATTATTAAACTGATGTATAAATATAAACATTATACATATCAATGTGGAACTATGTGTAATTTCAATACCTGTATACATTATATAATGTTTAAATATCTATCTCCTCACTGAGTTTCTGGAAATATGTTGGGGGAGAAAGCAATAAAAAATGGATAGTTTAATTAGGCTATCTACTTTCCTTGTATATTATTCAGTGTATATAGTGCATTTGGACAGTGTTTCTCAAACTTCCGTGATTATTAGAACAACCTAGAAGGGCTGTTACAGCATATTGCTAAGTCCTATGCCTGTAGATTCTGACCGAGCCAGTTGAATAAGTCAGCTGTTACATGGGCACTATAGACAGAGGCCATGCCACACCTAAAAATGTCCTCTGCTCTTTGGTAATTGATTCTTTTCATTGTATTTTAGTTCTTATTGAGGTAGAAAATGCATATAGTAAGATGTGCAAAATGATCAAGTTTATGTGTATTGGTTGTTAAATTTTACATTATATCACCATTTGGTCATTCCCATATCAAGATGGAGAAGAATTCCATCATTTCCCAAAGAGTTCCCTCCTTCAGAAGTAAACTTTACAGACTTCCCTTGCATTGATTGGTATTGATTGGTCTTGAACCTCACATAAGTAGAACCATATCAATTGTGCTTTGGTGTTTGGATTCTCCTGCTTATTCCATGTGATATATAGTCCTGTTGTTGTTGCATCAGCAGTTAGTTTTGTGTATTGGTCTATAGTGATCCAGTATAGGAATATGCCACGATTTAGCTATCTCTTCTCCTCTTGTCAGGAGTTTCCATTTTTCTGCTGGAAGCAGTTTCTTATTTTTATAAAAATGCAAATTCAGTGTTATTTTATGATTTTCCAGAAAAGTTATAGATCTAGATTTTTATGTAAAGATTTTAAATGTTGAGAAATATTCAAGTTTCAACGTTGAACAGGTCATGTTAAATATGAATGTGACCCACATCTGGTTTATGAGCCAAAACTTTTCATTCCCTGTAACATTTTGTTCTGACAAATGTTTGTTTCCCTCATTGACAAAACCATTCTCATGCATGCCCTTACACAGAATCATGCCTGAGACCTGTAGCAGTGATGGGTGACTGCCAACAGAAATTTCCAGAATCTCCTTTGCTTAAGCTTGCTTACATTTTGCTACCTGGAAGAATGTGGGTGTGAAATAAACTTCCTTATGTCCACCAGGCTTGGGGGTCTGGGTTCTCAGGACTGTAGGAGTGAATAGAATGGTATTGATGCTTCTTAGCGTGCGGTATGCAATCTGCATCTGTGTCATTGCTGTGTTATTCATTTGCTTGTTTATCTTGCCAAAACATTGGTGTTTGTGAAACAGCTTTAGAGGGCTGTGGTGGATTAGGATAGCATGAAAGGAAGTTGTGGCTTGTTCTCAAACAGGGAGAAAAGACATTTTCTCTTCATTGTAAAATCCATAATTTATTCACTGTCTGATGCACTGTGTTGCATGTTGGTTGCCTAGCAATGAAGTAAAGTTTGTCTGTTTAGGAATGTCTGAAGATTTCTTATAATGTAAAGACAGAGGATGCTTTCTGAACTTTTATTTGCTTCAATGTGCATTGGGTCATGTGCCAATTATAGAAGGACATCAGGGTGAGAGTTTATTTTTGGTAATATAAATGTTAACCCAAATAACAGAAGGCCACTATCATATGTTTATGTGAAGAGAAATCTTATCTATTTTAAAAGATGCAATTTCCTGTCTTTACCAAGTCTAACTTGAGCAATAGGTATTTTCTTTCCTCCCTAATTCAACTGCTCATAAGTGGTTGTGGGAAATAAAAAAGATGTTTTTAAAATAAAACACAGTTATCTGCTGTTATAACTTCATTGATAATTTTTCCAAACTTAGCTAATGAACATAGGTTTAACTGAAAATATCCCAGAATCTTCTAAAATTCAAGGATGTTGAAAAGGTCTGAGGTATGTTTCATATATATATATATATATATATATATATATATATGTATATATTCATACATATATAACATGTTTATATATATATATATATGAAGGTAGCATAATGAAATTCACTAAGCACTGTTAGAAAAACTAGGGGAGGATAAAGAGGGGGTTAAGGGAATATAATTGAGAAGGGGAACTTGCTCAGTGTACACAGTATGCATTTATGGAATTATCACAATAAACGCTATTGTATTATCAATCTATGCTAATAAAAAAGAGTGAAAAAAAGACAAAGAATTGTGGGAGCACAAATGAGGTCAAAACAAGGTTTGAGTTTCAGGTAGCAGTATGTTTGATTTCATTTTCTCCTTTGATTCAGCATCACTAGGGAAAAAAGCCTGACCTGGTTTTGTGTTCTTTGGTTAGGTCATCTATCTTTAAAGCTGATTTATTTTCCATAATAGTCAAATCCCTGAGTTTGTTTCTAACAGTGGGATCTTCTTATTGAGAGAGTCATTTATGGCAAAGACCTTTTACATTGTATGTTACAGCTTTATTACTATCTTCACTAAATGAAAGTTAAGGGTAATCTGCCTGAAGGCACTAGATTAGGATTCTGAAGACCCAAGTGACTGGCCCTATGAACCATCATTTAACCTTAGGACCCTTAGATCTCAATTGTCAGGTGAGGAAAGTAGTTTCTGTTGACTTTATCAGGTTATTGTGAACACAGTGGGAGTGGGAGGAAATATGAGAAAATGTATTGTGAACTGCAAAACAGTTTTCAAAGAAAATCTCATTAACAATGATTATTAACAGGAAAGATCATAGAACAAGTTCAGATATGCATTTTATAGTATTCATTAGAAAAAGCTACTTTACAAAATGTTTAAGTATTTTAAGAAATTCAGCAAAGTAAAAATACAGATCACTACAGATTTTTACCACATAAGGGTAACTTAATTATATTAGGTAGGGATCATCTCAGACAT